TTCATTGAAGCCACCAATGCCTCAGTTCCTTTGAAAACCAATGAAGGACAAATGAGGGAAAAGAAAGGCAAATGGCGACAAGTCCAACAGGACTGAGGTTGAAAGCAACCTGCCTTCTGCCGAACCCTTATCCTAATCCTACCCCCTAAACACAGGGATGATCTGATTAGCCTTAACAGTGAAGGGAGGGCGGGTGTAGTTGACCCAAAGCCTGACTGGGGTGAAGTTGAAAAAAACTCGCCTCCGGCTGAACCATAAATCCAATGGTCTTCCAAATAAAAAACCTTAGCCATCTTTGATGCAATCAAAAGGTTATCCAACCCCAAACCAAACCATTGTGACACAAAGATTACTTAACCACAAACCAAACTAATACTTAACTCTTCTTGGAACCATGTTTCAGGGAACTTGACTGATATGTGCCGGCCCGTGCACTGTCTTTGCCTCTCTATCCCAAACCATTTAGTAAGACAGTATGGGGAGAGTCATCGAGATAGAAGTGGATCCCCTAACCCATAATGTATTCCCCAGCCCCTTAACCTAATACTTAACCATCAGAACTAAATGCCTAGCCCCAACCATAACCTAAACCTAATCATAACCTGAACCCTAAAACCAAGTCTTAACCTTCAAAAAAGTGTTCCAGAAAGTGAGGAGCAGCCAAAATGTCTTCATTCTGTGGCAAAAAAAAAAAACTATGTAGGAACTACGTAGGAAGTACACTCCCAGATATGTACAAGGCCACATGCACGCTCTGCCACAGACATGAAAAAACTCAACACATTCAAGCACACAGTGACATGTGTAACTGCTATAATGCTTCAACACACATGCACACAAGCTATAACCAAGCTTATTTATGAGTTTGTGAGACATAAACACTGCAGCAGCAACAGGAGCAACTCTGTTCTAATCTCACACTCCAAACTGCAAAAGGCTCAGACAATAAAATCATGTCAGTGGTCCAGCCTCCTTCTTCTTAACGCACTTACCAGGAGACAAGACTGTGCTCTGATTTATAATGAGAACACCATATCGTTTTGCTAATACAATCACAATTACAACTACTATTGTCCTGCTTTGTAACTATTTTATTTCACTTTTCTATCAATAAATACTTTCTCAGTTTATTCCACATCTCAAAGCGGGAGAGTCTTGTTTTTACTTTTACGGTGTCAGAGTCTTTGTTGGCAAATTTCAAACGATTCAATGAACTTTGGAGCAGTGCAGCAGCAAGTCAAACAAGCCTGTGCTTGTTTGCTGCCATTTCCAATCAAATGAACACTTTCAAATGACAAATAACTAACTCTGATGTCCTTTCCAAATATTTAATGGTCAGCCAGTGTCATTTTGTTTATAAATTTCATTAATATTTGTTAAATAAAATCAGTCAATCTGCACTGCATGTACTCATAATGACACCAACAACAATGACACTCTTTAAACGTGTCCCACAAACACATCTGTATGGTACATATTTAAAGATCAACCTCCTGGGAAATACTATTACCCTATTTTTGTGTATTGCAGTTTTAATGCTTTCTTGCCTTTATGTAACTGTTTTATTTTAAGACTTCTTTCTGGCTTTTGACTCTTTACCTGACTCCAAAGGAGAGCTGCTCAAGAATTCCTATGTCTGTTTATGCCAAAAGGGCAAATAAAAATCTTGAATCCTTGAACCTCTGGTAATGGACTTAAAAAGGTTTAACTCACAGCAGCTTAATTTTGCCCTCAAAACAAAAGGTGTATCCATGCACAGTGAGTCTCACTGTGGGACATGGATGCGGGTTTAAGTTACGTTTAAACATTTAAAAGGGTGAATTAACTTTAGTGACAAAAACCGCGTTAGAGAAATGCTTCGTCTTTCTTGCCCATCTTTTTTTAATCGGCCTTTAATTCTTCATTCCACTGACATTACTTCTGAGGGACAAAATGTTCCCAGGGACAAATTGTGTTGTCATTCAAGGGGAATTCTTGTAAAACCATGTGATGAGCAAACACTTTTTGGTACACAGAGGTTCTTTTAACCAGGCATACTTGGAAGCAGCAGTGGTGACCTCCTCTGTAGAGTTTTTTTTTGGGGGGGGGTAAAATTGGAGGTTGTTGTTGGAAACTTTGGTTGCGGGCTCTAATTGTTTATTTTGTCCTCATGTTTTTTCTCAGAGACCTTCACATGACAATGCTGTTGGTAAAACAGACAAAGCAGGCCAGAAATTCCACAGGAGCTCTGCCTACTGGCAAGACGATGTGAGCAAATTAGAGACAGGTTTCTACTTTAAAACAAACATTATTACAATGCTTTTGTCTAAACTACAGGGGCAATGACTGATTTTACACATGAAGATCAGTTAGGACTACCACACAACCTGTGTAAACAGCAGCCCCACCTTCTACAAATTATATTTATATACACTTAGCATGTTAACAGATATGTATCGTTGTCTGAATTATGGTTTTTATCAACACAACGAGGAACTATTGTGAGCTAATGTAACTGGCAAGTTGCAAAGTGTTGATACTGAACAGAGCTGTAAATTATTCCCAGAGAAGACATCTTGTTCTCCTAGAACACTCGTAGCAGCTCAAGTATGATGTTGTGCTTTTGTAACAACTCAAAGCTCTTATTTAATGCTTGAAAAATGAACAGTAACGTGGCAAGAAAAACTGTTTATTAACATTTAAATGAAACACTTCAGTCTGTCCTTAATATTAGCCATAGTGGGTTTTTTTTTTTTGTTGTTGCCTAAATCTGATGACACACAGGAGTCAGGATGGAAACTCCGGTCTCTGGTGTCAAAGCCACTCACTATCCACCCTAAACATCACACTACAGCTTGCATGAGAATATAACCCAGGCAGCGATTATGTTTCCAAACAAAACACAAGCGGTTAAACAAATCAGTAGTACATCAGATTCTAGAAGACAGGGTTAGGAAACAGTTATCATATCTGCTCTGGAGGAGTTTTCTGAAGTCAGAGAAAATAACCCTGATGGTATGATCAGGGTTATCTTGGCTTAGGCTTAGGCTTGATAAATTGTTGGCACTGGACTTGATGGCATTTTTTTAATGCTCAATGCCAGCGATTTTAAAATTCTCAACTTCTGAATAATGTGCATATGGAAAGATGTCTGGTTTGTTATAAAAACACAATGATTAATTGCAGGTCTGTGATGGGAAGTGAACTCTTGCCTCCTGCATGAACGTTGGGTGTGCTACATGCTCACTCACCACCCTGGCCCTGATGTCTAACACCTTGTTTGTCTTCTTACTACATATAGGGAACACTGGCAGTGGACGTAAATGAATCTTCCAGAATAGGTGGAATTACTAAGCAGCATTGGTTTGGCTGTAATCAGAATATACCAACTTTTCTTCACTGGTTTTGACACTTCTTGTCATCAGTACAGTACTAATGATCCATTAAAACGTGCATGCACCGGGATCTGGCTGTTCATGGGATCTCTCCCCTCCTTCACACTCACCTGTGAGTGTAAACAGCAGGTGTGAGAAGGAGCCAGGGGCCTATCAAATAACCTTCTGATGAGTTGCTCAACAACAACAGTTCCTCCCTGTTATTATTGGGTCAACAAAGTTGTAGGAAGTCTTAGGGATTAGAGTGGAGAGGAAACATGAGCGTGAGTTCTGAGTCGTCCCCCTCACACACACTTTTTGTCTGATGGCAGTGTTGGGGTTAACTCCCCTTTGCTCCCAGGCTGACCAGGGGTCAGGGGGGAAACAGGCAGCCAGTCAGGAAGCCAGGCATTCTTTCTGTGTGTATGTGTGGCTGCAGCCCACTATGTGCTCTTTGACTCTTCTGGCCTTATAAGGCATCTGGCGCCATGGCAACAGGAGGGCTTGAATAGCAGTGTCAAATCCCTCAGCACACAGACACACGCTCGCTCTCCCTAAAGGAGAGAGTCAAGCAGAGGCACAGCGAGAGGACTGAAAGGAGGCTATCTCTATGCTGTTCTCACTGAAAGCTCTGTGACTGGGTTTGTCTGGAGCTTGTTTGCCTAATTTATTCCTGCCCTGGCCGGCAGAAGGAAAGGCAGAAAGAAGAAAAAGGACAGGCAGAATAGTAAAGAGTGCAACAGTACACCGTGACTCGCTGACAGGGAATGCAGAGAGGGTCTGGCCTCTAGTTGTTACTGCTGGATGGACAAGCACTGACAAAACAAGGGAAAG